TCTTTCCGACCCATGCCCCTGACAGAAACTCATTCCGTTAAAAGTGAACTTCCTTTTATTTACATGACACATCACGACCGAAGTCAAGGCATGCTAGCCATCACCCGAAGGTGACATAACCAAAAAGGGAAGTGAAGCATAAAAATATGGATAACTTACCAAAACTAACATTCATTTAATATAAAGTAGCGAGTGCATAGTAATGGGAAGAACCCATAAAACATCAGTGTTCAGAGCATATATGACCTAAAAGTGTGCAATTGAAACTAGATAAAGAACTTAATACACATACGCTTTATCTCTCCTCCGTGAGAGTCCCTCCTCAGTGTGGGTTTGTGTAAGAGATCCTATGTTTTTTCCTTAGCTCAGATCCGCTCTATCACCCGTCTCCCTAACCTTTACCTTTCCCTAGCTCTTTTTCACCATCCTTTTTTCTCTCTCCGTATTCATTCCCTTTTCCTCTGAATTAATTCTCAGATCTGTTTTGCTCAGCCTAACCCAACTACTTTTTTCCTCTCCGCTGCCCTGATCTTCTTAATCAACCCCCCAATCCTATACTTTGTGCTAGCTCATTAATTCTCATGACCACCCTCTTTTCTTTTCATTTCTCTCTCCGCTTTCAACCTTTCCTTTGATTAATTTTTCAGATCCATCTGTTCAATCCCCCCACCTACCCTGTACTTCTTTTGCAATTTTAATTCATCTTTCCCTAGTCCTGCTCTGGGTCAGATCAATATCATAGGGACGTTTGACAGGGATGACATAAGGGCGAAAAAGCAGACCTGTTTCCACCAGACACAAAGGTATAAACAACTCTAAGGAGGATAAAAGAACAATCACGGGAAGGGGCGGATCCACCAATAAGCTCAAACCACCAGACTTAAGGAAGAGAGTAAAGGCAAGGTACCCGAGGAAACGACCTACACCAGCAATAACAGCGAACTACCTAAGAAGTCATAAAGGGGGCATTTATGAAGAGGTAAGTCTTAATAACACGGGTAAAGTGATAATGGAGTTATTTACAAAGAATTTGAAAGGCAGGGAGAGAGACACAAAAACAATAAGGAAGAACCGGGCCAAAAAAGCAAAAGCCTACTAGTGGCTTTTTGTGATAGTGTTTATCTGTGTAGATTCCCATATGTTGAAACATATGGCTGGAGCGGAGGTGGAGGATCTTGTGGTACATTTAGAGAAAAGTATGGACCTATCAAACATGGAAAAAGGAATCAAGCTTGTGGGCACTGTTTTGGCCAAGAAACTCCTTAACAAATGGGGCATTCGCAACATTCTTAGAGCTTCCTGGAAAGAGATAGGGGAGGTTGACATTAAGTGGGTCAAAGATAACACGTTCATTATCACTGTTAATGATGAAAGTATGGCTACCATGATAGTCGACTAGGTCCCATTGGCGGTTATGAAGAAAAATTTCTCTGTCAAGAAATGGCCAAAGGAGTTGGCCTTAGAGGATATCAACATGAATGCAATCCCATTCTGGGTGCAAATTAGGGGAGTCCCTCCCTATATGAGCTCTGAGAGGAATATAAGGTGTTTGGCTTCAAATATTGGAAAAGTTGAAACGATGGAGGACCCAGTAAAGGCAAGGGGCTTTTTGAGAGTCAAAGTGGAGGTGGATTCTTTGAAACCTTTAACCACAGGGTGTTGGCTCCCGAGGGACAACAATAATGAATCATGGATTGAGTTCAGATATGAGAGGCTACAAGATTTCTGCTATCGTTGTGGAAGAATTGGACACTCCAACACGGAGTGTACATTGGAGCCCGTGAAGGGTGGTATGGCAGGATACGGAGAATGGACCAAAACGGCCCCTGTGAGAGATTTCATTGAACCGCCAAAACCATTGGCGATTAACACGGGGGAACGAAGACATGCAGGAGCTTTTAGAGTGGGGAAAAGAATCTCTAGTCAACAGCAACAGAATCAAGGCAAGGGGGTCCGAGTGTAATACAAGTAGCCGAAGAGGGGGACCAAATGCATATCAGGCAGCAGCAAAAGAAGGGGAAAAGCCTAAAAACGTGGAGTAGAATGCAAAGAACGGGGGAGAGACAAACTTTTAACCAGGCCCAATAGATCATGGAGGGAAATGGGCCGATGGCTATCCATCACCTGGTTATGGGCTTTAAACCCATGGATATTCAAGCTAAACATAGAATAATCAAATCAATCCAGATTGAGGAGATCCAAGATGGGAGAGGGACTTCAAATGATAAAGGAACAATAATGCCACTCATGCACTCCCAAAGCAAACTACCAACAATGGTGCATCCTTTAAGCACGGAAATTATGGAAGGAATGAGTTTCACGTTCTCGAATGCTGAAAGGGACGGAAGCAAAAATAAGAGAGTGTCGGAAGCAGAGTCCAATGAGGGGGATGTGGGCTGTTCACCTATGAAGAAATCAAAATATACTGAGGAGAAAACTAGGGTCAAGGAAAGAAAAAGTAGGGGAGAAGAACGGCTAAGGGGTTTGACTATAGAAGAACACAGATTGACTAAGGATAAGGAGAGAGATGGGGAAGAGTGGCTAATAGAAGTTCCGATTGAGTACAAGGCCGGGTGGAATTACAGAGACGAGACCACAGAGGCATCGATGACTAAGGAGGGGGGATACTTGTCCCAAGGTGGTGGCGGCTGGCCTTCAACAGCAGCAGGGAAGCCATGATACACCTTTTCTGGAACTGCCATGGTCTAGGGTCTGACACGGTAGTTCGAGCCCTACATGGGCTAATTCGAGAACACAGACCCTATATGATTTTTCTATCGGAAACAAAGATGAAAAATCATAGAATTACTGGAGTGAGAAGAATGATGGGTTATCCTAATGGTTTTGATATTGCTCCCATTGGTAGAGCTGGTGGCCTCAGCCTTTGGTGGAATGACCAGGTGCAGGTGGTTATTATTGAATCGTCTAAGCACTTCATTGATACTCGGTGCTCTCTGGTTGATTCTGAAGTGGAGTTCAGGTTTACAGGAATTTACGGTACATCCTACAGAATAGAAAAAGAGGTCTTTTGGAGGGGACTTATACAGAAATTTGGGCCGGAGTGCACCCCTTGGATTTGCGGTGGAGATTACAATGAATTCCTATGAGATCATAAGAAATCGGGGGGAGCGGAAGTTAGATACAACCGTCCAAGGTATTTGGAAGAGTTTATGAATAAACTAGAGGTTGTGGATCTGGAGGCTAGTGGCCAAAAGTTCACTTGGAGAGGGACCCGAAATGGACAACTTGTGGAAGCTCGTTTAGACAGGGCTCTGGTAAACGAAGCCTGGCTGTCTCATTGGCCAAACTCATTGGCTATAAATGGCACGACGATGGGATCTGACCATTGTTCGGTAGTGGTACGATGTGAGCCAAAGCCTGAAAGACAAAAGAAGCTGTTCCGTTTCGAGGTGTTTTGGACAAAGTAGGCGGAATGTAAAGAGATTGTGAAAGGTGCCTGGGACCTAGGGAGAGAGGGAAACCCCTTACAGAATTGGAAAGCCAAAATTAATGAATGTCGTATTACCCTCTCTAGATGGAGTAATGCTAAATTTAAACAGAGAGGATGGCAAATCAGGGATATGATGAGTCAGCTGGGGCGGCTTCAACAGAATTGGGGCATGAATTCTACGGAGATTCAAGTCTTATCCAAAACAGTTGACTCGTTGTGGAGTCAGGAGGAGAGCTACTGGAAACAGAGATCAAGGGTTCAATGGCTGAAGGAGGGAGATGCTAATACCAAATTCTTTCACCAATCTACTCTACAAAGAAGAAGAAGAAATAAAGTGGTCTCCTTAAAAGATAACAATGGAAATTGGGTGAAGAACCCTGGGCAGGTTCGGCGCATGTTTGACGATTATTTCACGGAGCTGTTTACATCATCGGGGATGCGGGATTGGGGTCAGATTTTGAACTGTGTTACTTAAAGGGTTACTGACGAGATGAATGATGACCTAGTAGGAGTGGTTTCGAGTGAAGAAGTTAAACAAGCAGTTATGCAGATGGGCAGTTTAAAGGCCCCAGGCCCTAACGGCTTCCCTAGCGTCTTCTTTCAGGCTCACTGGGATATTATTGCAGCTGAAGTGAATGAGATGATTGCGATATTGATGCTTGGTTCGGTTGACCCTCGGCATATAAATGCCACTCACTTGGTGTTGATTCCAAAGGTCCAAAATCCAGTATCCGTATCTCAATTTCGCCCTATCAGTTTGTGAAATTATTCCTATAAGGTGCTTTCCAAGGTGTTGGCCAACCGTCTCAAACAGATTTTGCCGGTGCTGATCTCTCCTACCCAAAATGCTTTTGTGGCAGGCAGGCAAATTCATGATAATATTGGGCTTGCGCATGAGCTTTTCCACTTCCTTAAAACTAGAAAAACCAAAGGCAAATTTGAATTGGAAATCAAGTTGGATATGCATAAGGCCTACGATAGAGTGGAATGGGATTTTCTGATGGCAGTAATGGAGAAAATGGGCTTCAATGATAGATGGCGAAAGTTGATAATGGGATGTATTTCTTCGGTGAACTTTGTCATCATGCTCAATGGGCACCCTAGATCAAGGTTCGCGCCTTCTCGTGGTATTAGGCAAGGGGACCTTCTATCCCCCTACCTTTTCCTCCTGGTCAGTGAAGTCATTTCGCTTCTTATTCAACATGCCTATGATAAGATGTGGATAAAGGGAGTGAGAATGAATGTTTTGGGTTCATCTATTTCTCATATTCTTTTTGCAGATGACACTCTAATATTTCTGAAGGCGGAGGAGGTGAACTGTCGGCACCTTATTCAGTTGATTGATGAGTTTTGTGCAGCGTTCGAACAACAGGTCAACAAGTCGAAGTCCAGTGTTTGCTTCGGGTTTAATGTGCCGGTGTCGCTCTCACAACATCTAGTGAACATTCTAGGTATGGAAAAGGTAGGAGACCCAGGATTTTACCTCGGGGTTCCGGCTGTTTGGGGCTGATCTAAGAAGGCCGGTCTTGCTTATGTAAAAGGGAGGCTGATGGAAAAGCTGAAAGGGTGGAAAAAGTTGACTCTTTCACAAGCAGGGCGGGAGATCCTTATAAAGGCAGTGGCACAAGCTATCCCGGCTTACCCAATGAATTTGTTTAAGTTCCCTAATTCGTTTTGTCAGGAAATGGACGCTTTGATTTCGAAGTTTTGGTGGGGACAAAAACAAGGGGAAAATAGGATTCATTGGGTTTCTCGTGAGAAATTAGGGCGATCAAAGGAAGATTGTGGTATTGGGCTGAGAAGCTTTACATTGTTCAATGATGCCCTTTTAGCCAAGCAGTGTTGGAGGCTGATTGTGGAGCCAAACTCCCTATGGGCATCGGTTCTAAAGGCTAGGTACTTCCCGAATTGCTCTTTCCTCAAGGCTAAGCGGGGTGGTAGAGCATCGTGGATTTGGTCTAGTCTCCTAGCTGGAAGGGAGATCCTTCGCAATGGTGCTCACTGGCAGATTATGGATGATAATGATACTCGGGTATGGGTGGATAGATGGCTCACATCTCTTCCCTTAGGGAAACCTCTCCCTCTGGGACCGGTGCAGGTTTCTAAAAACTTAAAAGTCAAATCTTTAATTTGCCAGGAGAGTAGGGGATGGGACATTGATTTTTTGAAGCCTTTCTTAGTGGATGCGGAGTTCGCAGCGATATTGGGGACAATAACTGGAGACCCGTTGCTTAAAGATAGGCTGATTTGGCTCTATGAGAAAAGGGGATCCTATTTAGTAAAAGCGGGTTACTATTGGTGCTTGACCCATAGCAGTGGGAGGATCCCTCCGCCCAGTTTGGCCACCAACTGCCCCAGGGCGCTCTGGAAAATCATCTGGAAGCTGGAGACACCACCGAAAATCTGAAACTTCTTGTGGAGAACTATGCACGGAGCTATTGCCACAATGGCGAACTTATACCAACGTCGGTCTTCTCCTTCTCCACTGTGCCCCATTTGTAAAACACATGATGAATCAGTTGACCACATGCTTCTTAAATGTCCTTGGGTGGAAGGGGTCTGGTTCGGGGGTATGTTGAGTATCAGAGCACATAGGCAGCAAGCTTCAAACTGGGCAGATTGGCTTCTCCTGATGCTTGAGTCGGCTGATGGGTCAAGGGAGGTTCGGATTATGCTTTTATCTTATATGCTTTTACTTGTTGGCATATTTGGAAATCCAGATGTGATTTCCTGTTCAATAATCTGAATCTCAACCCAATGAGGGTTTTGGATGCTATTTCTCTCTCTGTATCAGTTTTTAAAGATTCAATTCCTACAACGGGGACAAGTCTGTTGCCCAGTCCAAGAAACGGGGAAGAGGCGTTGCCCAGTCCAAGAATTGGGGAAGTGGAAGTCCGGTGGGTGCCGTCGAATCCGGGTACTATTAAGATTAATGTTGATGCAAGTTGGGTAGCACGTTCGGGGATGGGTTACATTGGGGTGGTGGCAAGAAACAACGAGGGTTGTTTCTTGGTGGCTTGCGGGTACCGCATCATGGCTAATAGTGTTGCAATGGCAGATGCCTTGGCAATTTTACATGGGTGTGAGCTGGGAGCTAGAAAGGGTTGGGATTCTATTATTGTGGAATCAGACTCTTGAATCAATTTCTTGCCTTAGAGATCTGGCAAGGAAGGGCAGTTGGGAGGCTTTTCCCATTCTAAGGAAATGCTCTAGAATGGAATCAGTTTTCCAAGATTGCCGCTGGTCTTGGATCCCGAGACTGGCCAACTTGGCTACGGACCTTTTGACGTCGCGGCAGTGTAGGGAAGCATGTGACTTCGTATGGGTTGATAGACCCCCATCTTCTCTGATCCATGTTTTGTGTAACGATGGCCCTTGATTTTTTTGCTATGGTTGTGTGTGAAGGGACGCTCTAGCATTAGATGCGGCGTCATGTTTCCTACCTACATTCTCGCACCACTTTTCTTTGTAGTTGTGCTTGTGCTTGTTTGCCTCTTAGTAGGCTTTCTTGTATCATTTTGGCATCTTTGCCCGAGTAGTGAATCTCCTGTTTACCAAAAAAAAAAAAAAGAACTTAATACACAACTGGAAAAAGTCCCCTACATTTATTTATGGATATGTTAGAACTACCAGAGATTCCTCGTACGCCACAGAGTAACAGCTAACTAGGATCTGGAGGAGCAAAAACAAAAGGGTGAGTGGGCAAAAACAAAGGTTTATAAAACACATTTATTTTTTTAATATACTAACCCATTGCCATAAAACATGTATAGTTTCCAGAAAATCATACTACGTATAAATATGAAACCAAATGCAAATCAACAATAAATCCAAAAAAGCACCAATCATAATATCACAACAATAGTATAAGTAAAATCAGGTGCTCATCAATCTATGTTAACACACGAGTTCATGCAGAGGGAAACTGACATGAATAGGATTGGGTGTAATCATAATATACACTCTAATGCTACAATCACGTGAAGATTGGTGCTATTCCCAGTCACATACGAGTCAGAGTTGCCTATTACAACCTATACAACAGGACTGGCACCTACTTGGATCCAAGGTGAGCGTGTGGTGCGGATGTGAACATACACGTAAAAGATTGGCCCTGGCCCTAGGCGAGCACTAACACTGGGTACAGCAATGTATGATAAGCAGGTAAAATGTATATGAACATGCCATGATAGTATATAAATCTCAACCATATAATAACATTTCTAAAATTAAATAAAACATGGCATAATAGGCATAAATCAATACGAAAGCATATGTGGAAACTATAAAACTTTATATATATATATATATAAAAACAAATGCCCACTCACTGATACATCGATGGGTCATAGCCTCCTAGCCTTGTCAGTCCTCATGCCTCCTCGGGGCAAGTCTCACCTATATGTGAAATAACCTTACTAATTAATTAATTAGGACCTACACAAAAAGGCTAGGAAAATCCCCCATAGTTTGCTTAAACGAAGGGTTTAAATATACGAAAACGTTTTACACGAAGTCACAAACACATACACGTCAACCACACGTCGCCCGGAGGCCGAACGCGCCTACACACAGGCCACATGCTAGCAGATGCTGACAAACCCAGGGAATATTCCGTCAAACTTAACGGAATATTTTGCTAACGATAAAGGCGTCAGTTAATGGCGTTACCTGACGGCGTTAAAATATTTACTTTGACGGAATATTCACCTTCTTCTCCGATGGTTCTCCACCGTCTGGTTCACTGGATTCTGGAAAAAAGTCATCAGTTTCTAGAAACTTTTTCAAATTTTCATATCTTCTTCATTTCTCAACCATTTTCAACATACTTTATATGGAAATGAAGTTAGGGAAGAGAAGAGAACAAGATTATACCTCTTAAAAGTCCAAAAGGATGATGGAAATGGATAAAAATAGACTCGATAGCCCTGGACCCAAACTCGTCGTCTCAAAACCCTGTGTTCTCCTCATCGACTCCACTTCAAAACTAGGCTATTGGCCTTGAGGAGTTGCCTTGATGCTTCCTAAACTCCCAAAATCTTGTGACTCGGACGGAAAAACGTCGAGGAAAACTTCACCCAAGTCGAAGTTCCAAGATGGACACTCAAAACTGGTCCATTCGTGATCGGTCGGTACAGATGGGTTCGTGAGAAAGAGATGAGCATGATGGTAGTGGTTTTAGTCTCGATCTGTGAAGTTTTGAAGGTGATCCACTACTAGAATATAGGCTATCACCGGCGAACCAAAACTAGACAAGAAATACGATTTCTGTCGAAAATTTGGCAAAAATCCGACATAAAACAATGTAATGTCATATTGGAATAGTGACACCATTGCTAGTGTCACTAAAGGGCTTCAGTGTTGGTTTGTTCACTTAATACGCTACTAAGCAGCGTCGGTTAAAAGTGACACTAATGTTGACGTCGGTTTAAAGCGACATATACTTCAACATTATGTCGGTTTAAAGCGACGTCAGATAACAATTAAATAAATACAATATGCAAACTAGTGACGGTCTTAACCGACACCACCTTTGTTAATAATTATAAAAATATTTCATGAAGAGATGTCGATTGACTTGTCCATGAAGTACTACACACAGAAATTGTAGAGACAGATTTTGAAGAATTTTGGCAATTCATGAAGAGATGTCGATTGACTTGTCCATGAAGTACTGCACACAGAAATTTTAGAGTTAGATTTTGAAGAATTTTGGCAATTCATGAAAAGATGTCGATTGACTTGTCCACTGCAATTCATGAAGACATCAATTGCCAGGCGACTTGTCAATTGAAAATACATCTGAGAGAAGAAGCCAAAATAAATATCAAAATTTGAAGAATTTGTACATAGAAATTGCACGAGGGAAAAGCAAAAGGACTCACAATTTGGATCTTCAACCATGAGCCATTTCTAATCCAATGACTCGACGGTCTGCAATTTCGGGATCATGTTCCCATTGGGCTCGCTCCTTTGCTTACTCGTTGAACCGTCTTCCGCCACACTTTCCTCATTGGCCTCGCCTTCAATACGAGACGATGCCATTTCCGTCTCTTCCACGACTCTCTTGGCGCTCCTAATGACAGTCCTCTACCTCAACTCTGTAGCCCTGCGCAAATTCTGAAACTCGGGATCGAAGACCTTCATCGTGATCAAAGAGCTGCTTTGAAATGGCATTAATGATTGCATCTTCCCGAAAATTAATCGTGAGTCTAATGGTTACAATTCATCATCTTCAGCTTCAACCAACTCTATTGTTGCTGAACAGATCAATCCTGGTGGTTTCGGATCAACTGCTCATTCAAATATGTTTGATAGAGATGGTGAAGTCAAAAGTTTTAAGGGGGAACAACCCATGGCTCCGAACTATTTATAGAACACAGTAGATGCTACATATCAGAGCAATGAAATTGGTTCCCATGATCCTATAAGGGCTTCTAATAACATGTTATGGCTGCGAAGAAAGAGCTGCTTTGCTGAAGGGGTTGTGTTATCTTCCTTTATATTTAGAATTTTGTGCGGGAGTGGTGTGAAAATTTCAAATTTCAAATTTCAAAATGTTTGAAATTTTGCAAAACTTTAGTGACCCGCCTTTTTAAAATTGTTTAACTTAAGTATATATAAATTTGGTAGATAACAAAACGACACCGGGTTTTTAAATATTTAAAAATATTATTAGTGTCGACTACAACCGACACCGGGTTTCAAAATATTTAAAAAAACTAAAATCTATGTCGCTCAAAACCGACGCAGACTTTAAAATATTTAAAAACAATACTTTGTGTCGCTTAAAAGTGACACCCATACTTTATGTCGCTTAAAAGTGACACTGTTTTGTTTAAAGCGACGCCAGTATTTAAAAATTATTAAATATATGTTGGTTATAAGCGACACTAAATGTTTGTGTCGGTTTAAATGTGACGTAAACATTTTATGACGCTTATAAGCGATAGTAAATCTGACGTCATGTTCAGTTAGTATTGCAACTGTCTTGTCCGCCACTATATTATATTAAACCGATGCCACCTACTGACACTATAAGGTCCTATTTTAGTAGTGATCCTTGTTGTTGAAGAGAAGAGAGAGTTACGGGTAAGGGGAGAAGAAGATGATGAGAGAGTTACAGGTGAGGGGAGAAGAAGAAGATGAGAGAGAGAGAGAGAGAGAGAGAGAGAGCGAAAGAGCAAGCTTTCTGATTGGCTGAGAAGAAGAGAGAGAGAGATGTTTGATTGGGTAGAAGAAATGGGAAAGTGATTGATTGGTTGGTAAGGGTGAATAAGGCACGGGACAAATTTTAAAGAGAAAAAGGGATATAATTTGTACAATTTAGATCACACAAAATATGTCCTCTTATAAAAAACAGTAGTTTCCTACATTGAAAAATTAACGCACACGAGTACAAATTTACCCGTTGTTAACGCACTTTAACTAAATGTAACTTTTTCGTTACAAATCCAATTTAGGTCTAACTCGCGCTCACGCAATCGTAACAATGAGTACTAATTAATTACAATAATGAGAAAAATAAATTAAAAGCTGAATAACTACGTCCACGTCAAGTTCTAGTTTTACCAAAAAGGACATAAACATCAATTTACACACTCGGAGAGAACATTACATAGAAAATTTAGGGACCGATTGTCACAATATACCCCCTTAAGAAAATTTCGTCCCTGAAATTTCAACACTATTAAAGACCAGTCAAAGAACAAACGTGGATAAAGATCTTGCATACGCTATTCTGTCTCCCAAGTAGCTTTCTCAACAGAGTGGTTTCTCCATAAGACTTTCACTATACGAATGGTTTTGTTCCTGAGAACTTTGTCTTTCCAATCAAGAAACGTCATTGGAACTTCATCATTAGTCAAATCTGGGTTAATCTCTAACAGTTAAAGAGGAATCACATGTGACAGATCAAAGATGTATCTCCGAAGCATGGACACGTGGAACACAATATGCACTCTTGACAACTCTGGAGGTATATCAAGTTAGTAAGCAACTTCACCAACTTGCTCAACAGTCTGATATGGTCCGACGTAATGATGACTTAACTTTCCTTTCTTCCTGAAACATACAATGCCTTTCCAGGATGATAACTTTAAGAATACCCAATCTCCAACTTTATACTCTGTCTATCG